GGGCGACTACGCCATGCTAAAAAAGCCCACTAATGTTAGCGTAGCTGCCCTCAAAATAGTGCATGAAACATGTAGTCTTAGCACACTGTCAGTGCCACTGTGCTAGAGTGGTTCTAGCGGCAAAAATGGCCCAAAAACCGCTAAAATGTGCTGTAGCACAGCGTAGCGGGCCCTTTTTTTTCCGCACACACGCATAGCATTAGCGCTGATTTGTGTATCTGCACTCACACTACACAACAATCTAGTGTATTTTTGCTACACTACACAACAATGTAGTGTATTTTAGCTACACTATGCTTATAGACTGATGCTACGGTTATTGTAGCTGGCCCAGCGTTGGTCTTGGAGAGATTCTGAACCCAACACAACAGATTTGAGATTCCATTCAAAAGCTAGCTCAGAGAGTGCCTGCTCAGTAATCTCTTTCTCTTGACAACTATGGAGGAAAGATCATCAGAGGGGGGGGGGGAGAAACAGGAAAGCTTGCCTAGCTCAGAGAGTGACAGATCAGTAATCTCTACTGAGCTAGGAAAAGACAGTTGACAGGAATATGTATAGAGAGGACTTCAGAATACATAATCTGTGACACTTCTCATTGTGAACCCCACAGTACTTGTGGGGGGGGGGGGCTCTACATTGACATTCTGTGTGCTTCCTTGTCCTCACTTCCACCTTATAACCAATGTAGCCAATCCACAAAATTATCAAAGCCCGTGTCCCTGCTGTGGCATGGGGCACTGCAGCCGCTTGTTGGGTGTGCAAGCACTAGGGACTCTCCCGCAGGGAGAGGACTTGGGAATAATGAGCAATCATGGCCCAGCAGGATCTCCAAGCTTTGGTGGTGGTGGATGTTGTGAGCACCTGCAGGCCATAGTTTTGAATGAGTTTTTTTTTCCACTTCATAGTTCAAATGTTGAATTTTTCTTATTCAAACTGTCAATTCAGAACCTGAAATATATGTCCCATTGATGATCAAATAAATTCATGAAACTTTGAGTATCTTGAATTTCTGTGGCGGCTTACTAGCAAAGCCATGGCTTTTTTGGACTGCTCTTTTTTTCTGAACTTTTTGCCTTACATCTCAACCGCTTTTAATCTATTCAGTTTTTCTCTCTCCTCCCTCCCTCTCTCTTGTCTCTCTCTCTGAAAACGATGTGATCACATTGATTATTAGCGAGCTGGATGTACCCTGGTGTACTGTTTTTATCTCTACTTACTTCTTGTCAATCTTTTTCACTTTTTTTTCTCGGTCGATTGCTTGCTCTCTCTCTTTGGTCTCTGTCTCTCTGTCTCTCTCTCTGAAAGTGATGTGATTGCAGTAATTAGTAGCAAGCAATGTACCCTGGTGAGTGTACTGTTTTTATTTCTACTTAAACACTTACTTGTTGCCCTGTTTTGCTTTTTTTTTCTCAGTCAATCGGTCTCTCTATCTAATGTCTTTTCACATGTCTTTCATTTAATTTGAGGTATGGCATCATACTTCAACGGCCGATTGGCCAATTAACATATCAATGGATCGATAGACAAAATATTAAAGGTCCAATAAAAAATACAAGAAATGACCAATTTCAAAAAAAAGATAGAAAAAAAACAAACAAAAAAAATGGTGCTAGGAGGAAATCAAACGGACAGGATTGTAGACCGGATGCTAGGGCTCAGCTGGGATAGGGTAGTGAGAGCCAAAAATTAAATGTACATATAATTTGCAATTCCAAACAATGAAATGATACGCTTATTTCTGAGTAGCTCTTGCGCGGGCTCTTCAATGTTGGGCATAAACCTTGCTCACACCTCATGCCTACGGGTGCTTGCGGGCTTTGTTACACTTGGTCAATCCACTGATCCACCAACAACAACCCTGGCCTCAGATCGGAGTGCCGGCTAAAATAGATCTGTCCATTTTATCTGGCATTTCTGGATATATAGATTGAATACCACTTTATATACTCTGCTTACCAAAAACCAAAAAAAAAAAGAAAAAAAAAACACACACACACACACAATCATCAAACCAAATCAAATCAAACTCGGAGCTCACACACAACAACAATAGGACAGTTCACATCTGAACTTTGAGGCAAATTTAATGACATTTATCATTAAAATTTTACAAATTTATCAGAAATCTCAAATTCCTCTGAACTTGATGTTTCATGAAATTTTACAAAATTCATAAAATTTTCTCTTCAAGTGCGTTAAAAGTGGCCTTAAACTCCAGACGTGAATCGGCCTAATACATCAATACATATAAAGTGGAGCCAAACACACACACACAATCACACAACCATGTCACAACCTTTCTTTTTTTTTCATTCGGAATCTTTATTTCCCATTTTCTTTTTTTTTTTTTTTTTTGGAGTGAGATCAAACCCAAACCCACAACCCCTCACACACACACAAAAAACACACATGTCACAAAAAAAAAACCAAGCCACACAAGAACAAACAAGCCAAAACAAGCCAAAACAAAACAAGACAAGACACTTTCACTAGGAACCAAAAACAAAAAAAGGGGGAACAGACAGACAAGAGAAGAGAAGAGAAGGGAAGGAAAGAAGGAATTATGTGTAAGTGTATTAAGTGATGGTTTGTAACACAAAAAGAAAGGAAGAGAGCAGCAGCTCCAAGAAAACAAAACCAAGATTAAGTGGAGGAATGAGGGTGGTAGGGATGATTTGTGATTGAGATAACTGGTCAAAACGAGGACGTAAAGAATCTCTGGAGTATGTATATGTATATAGATGTGTGTGTGTGTATATATGGGATGAACACATGGAGGTATATATATATATATGTATATGTATATATGTGTTTGGTTTATGATTATATGGTTATCAGTACATCATCAGCTATTGACTGGTCTCCCAGTCTACCCAGTGGGAAGAGGAATACATACACATGTACATATCAGCCCACAAAGAAGAAGAGCACAGGAGGAGGAGGAGTTGTGTAAGGGTATATGGTCTCAGAGGACGCAAGCCAGTCAAGAGGGGCGATGGGGGCAAGAAACAAGAAGAGAGGCGATCACGAGGAATTGTTGTCGGTCCAGTCAGGCCAGATGGGTCTGCAGCCCTCCAGGGCCTGCAAGACGAGATGGTCCTTGATCTTGTCGGCCTCGGCGAGCTGGGCGAAGGCGTCGGCCAGGGACAGGTTGGCGACCCCGACGCCGCGTTGGGCGTCCATGACGCGTTGCTTGGATAGTCTGACCAGCTCGTTGGCTCGTTCGAGGTGGGAGGGCCAACTGCCGATCGGCGGGTTCGATCGGCCTGGGATCGTCGATGGCGCTCGGCCTGTGTTGGTCGATGTGGATGTTCCACCGGTCGAGGTGTGTGAGCTCTGTTGTGTATGAGGATGAAAGATGAGGGTTAGTTAGTTTTTTTTTTTTTTTGGTTTGTGGGTGAAGTGAATAAGAGAGATGATGACTTACTGATGGGCTTAGGGATCCAGATGGGCCTTGATGGATGTTTTGGTTTGGCCAGTATGGATTAGGATTGTCGATTGCTAGATAATGGTGGATTGAAGAGGGAGCAGTGATAGCGGAGAAGGAGGAGGAGGAGGAGGAGGGATGGGCGGCAAAGTCGCCGATGCGGTAGTCGGAGAGCCAGTCATGGAGTGAACTTCCATCGGTCTTGAAGGGTTGTTCGTCGTAGATCGAGCGTAGGAGATGGCCAGCCTGTACGGGGTCAGATTTGGCGGTCAGGAGGAGTTGATCGAATTGATTAGGTTGTTGTTCGGTCTCTGTCTGAGAGTGATGGGATCGTTGGAGAGTGGGTGAGGGAGGTGGTGAGGGAGGGGAGGCTGATCGATGTGTTGAGGTTGGAGAGTGAGAGTGAGTTTGAGTTTGGTGATCGAGATTGCAGGAGAGATGGGCCTGGAGCCAGAGGGTGAGATCGTAAACCTTGTTGTGGACTACGAGCAGACAGCTATCTTCGGAGAGGTTGTTCTGTTCGATGAGTGAGTTGAGATCGAAGTTGGTGACGCTGGAGTTGAGTGCCGTTGGTGGTGAACTGGGTTGAGTGTATCTTGTCGTCGTTCTTGGATATTTGATCGATTGCTGTTGACTGCTGCTGCTGCTGCTACTGTTGTTCTGAGTGGATGACTCGAGGTATTCGTCCATCGTTTTTGTTGTTTTGTTGTTTTTTGTTGTTGTTGTTGTTCTTCTTAATAGTTGGTAGTCAGTCAGTTTGATATGGGGTTGCCCATCAAATCAGTATGTGTGTGTTTCTCCTCGGCAAGAAACTGCAAACACGCCTGCCTGTATACAGATTCACAGCAACTGGACGACCGGCAACTTCAAGCCTGCCGAGGGCTGCCGAGCTACGTACATTGATATACAGAGATGAGGTACATAAAAAGACGACTAGCTTATCTAATAAAAATCATCCACCGACTCTACATAATCTAAACCTGCTCAAAATTGGGTACCTCATCAATTCAAAACCAATCCTTGACCTTATACTTATAATGTAAACTTTAATCAAGCTGCAAAAGTCTGGCTCAAACATGAAATCCACCCCCACCCCCTGTAATTAAAGTTGAGAATCCAGTTTCAATACTCTCATTTGTAAAAACAAGATCTGTATATGCATTACATAATCATCTATCTATCACTTAGACCATCTCCACCGCAGGCTGCTATCCGAGCTGCCAAATCTCGAAGTTCGGCGACTGCGGCGCATTTTTAGCAGCCCACACCTCCGAAGATTTACACCGCAAGCTGCCAAATATGGCAACTCTGCCTTGTGAAAGTGTCCTCCCCGCCCCCCCCTATCCACACCCGATTGGACGAAGTTCTTCTATCTACCACAGCCATTTGCAACGGGCCATCGAAACAATCATCAAACGATGGATTCGACACTTCCGACGGAATTGAACCCCTTGACCGAAGAAGCCCTGGCCAGAATTTTAATCCGAAGGCAACGCTTAACTGCAAGTTCGAATACCCGAAGGGCTCTACTCCTCGAGGCGGCTACATTAATTCTTGACGACAACAACAGCATCGATGACCTACTTCCTTCCCATGGTGGGTCAAAACCAGGAAAAAAGTCTAATAAACCTCGAAACTTCGAAGCTAGCTATCAAAGGCTCATCGAACACTACTTCTCCGATTCACCGCTCTACGATGAGACACTATTCAGGCGTCGCTTTCGGATGGCAAAACACCTTTTCTTGAAGATAACCGACGACGTGGAGAATTACGACGATTACTTTGTTCAAAAACCTGACGCCCTAGGAAAAATGGGTCTGAAACCCCTAGTCAAGGTAACGGCTGCTCTTCGAATGCTTGCCTATGGAGCCGCTGGTGATTGCAACGACGAATACCTGCAACTCTCCGAAACGACCTCGCTGCAATGTATGGACCGCTTTTGCAATGCCATTGTCGGCATCTATGGTCATCAATATCTCCGCGCGCCGACTCCTGAAGACCTGGAGAGACTTCTCTCAATCGGAGCCAGAAGGGGCTTCCCTGGCATGCTTGGCTCGGTGGACTGTATGCACTGGGAGTGGAAGAATTGCCCCTCGGCTTGGGCTGGACAATATCAAGGAAAGGAAAAGGTGCGATTATTTTCATTTCATCACATGAAATGAATGTTAATTTTTATTTACTCTTGACCGATCTAGACCCCGACAGTGATCCTTGAGGCCGTTGCATCTCAGGATCTTTGGATCTGGCATGCCTACTTTGGGCTGCCAGGATCACATAATGATATCAATGTTTTAGACCGATCACCTCTCTTCAAGGACCTCTTGAACGGAAAATCACCCGAATGCGAGTACACAATCAACGGTCACGTTTACAAACAAGGTTACTACCTTGCGGACGGTATTTACCCCGATTGGGCTGTGTTCGTCAAAACTCTATCGGAGCCTGAAGGACTCGAACAAAAACACTTCGTCAAAATGCAAGAGGGTCGTCGCAAAGATGTCGAGAGGGCTTTTGGGGTTCTTCAAGCTCGATTCGCGGTCGTATCTCGACCG